ATGTAATATTTCGATTTCGTTTGACGTCCCGTAATGACCTCGAAAATAGAGACATGAATAAAGAAAATTATTTATATATAAAGGGGTGGGGCGAGGTGATAGCAGCGGCGGGTGGGGTGTTTAGTGGGTTAAAAAGGCAGGGAAATGTCAGGAGGCAGGGAAATGTCAGGATATCACGTGATTTCTCTCCCCAAGCTACCGTTATTTTTGACTTAGAGTGCCAATTCAGCCGGAAGTAAACCATTCGGGAAAAAATTGTAGTACGTTTAGCTTTTTCCTAAAAGGGGATATTACTTCTAGAGAATTGAATATTTTTGGATATTTTTTGATGTAGCAAGTTAGTCTTCAAATTTTTAAAAACAAGTTGACTAGTTAACATAAAATTTACTAAGAAGATGGGTATTGTGAACATGTTGGGAGAATAAGTTTCGGATAATAAATCTCCGAAATTGTTCTCATGCCCACGATGCACAAGATAAGACTGTCAATTTGTTGATGTGATAGGAGAATTTTACTTACGATTTTTTTCAAATATGAGAATCGTAACTGAAGTTCTCTCCAAATAAGTAAGATTAAGACTTCTTATTGTGGATATGAGAACAATCTGAACAAATCTCAACCCCTAACTTGAAAGTACAATCAAGAGCAACAAAAATCTATGAACAACTTAATTGATATCTAGTCCTCAATTTTTTTTTATTATAGTTGCAACATTAATATTCAATAACAAAAGTTGAGATGTCAAATTTTTAAGTGGCCTTTACGGTTTTTACATGTTCAATTTTGTATGGCCGCGTTTTATTTTTTTCACAACTTGAGAAACATTTTCATGAATGTTACGTGACATATTAAAGAAGATTTGGGTGTTCCAATTGTACGATAGTGGTTTTGCGATTTTAACATAAATTTGAGGGGCAATTTTCCCTTTTCTAAATGTTGAAAACGAGACCATAGTTAGGTACCATTTGTGCAAATGTCCCTCAAATTTTGATTTTAGTAAGTGGTCTGGATTCGTAAATGTGTAAAAGCTTATGGGCCTGGGAGCTGTATTTGGGCCTGTAAGCTCACATAGCCACCTTAGCTGGTCCAAGTTTATCCATATAGGATTGTGACTTGTGAGGATGTTATTAAGGCAAAATGAAATCAAAATAATTTTAGCATATTTTTCCATTTTGTTTCAATTATCTTCATAATATTTAAAATTGATTAGAGAAAAAATTACTAATCGAAAACTTTAGTATGCGAAAAAAATATATAAAATCATCTTTTTCAAGACAATTCAGTCTCAATTGGAAAAATGTACTACTCGTCAATGTTTTCAATCGAAACAACTCGATCAAATAGAATTACTGAAAATAGAAGGAAAAAAATTAGGAGAATAATTTTATTACTTTTCCAATTTTTTTTAATATTGTCAAGAGACAAGAGAATAAATAAATCAAAAATGCTGTGAGTATAGATTTTTTTTCTACGGAATTTTCACCAAAAATTTGAATTTTAATCACATGGGGTGGACCCCATGTGATTAAAGATTGATTTTTCTACCCACCCACCCACCCACTCACCCCCTATTGTTTCTATCATGTATGGGTACCCATAGTAGAACCCTAAATAAATATCTACAGCAGAGCATGGCCATTTGTCAATAATTAATAAATATCTACAACATAGCATGGCGATTTGTCAATAATTACAAACGAGAATTTGGGGCCTTTGAATTCTGTATTACACTAACTGTGTCAAGTCTCTATCCTAAGCAACTGAGCTTTTTTAGTTGTCACGCAAACAAACAATCCCTATCTTTGTCCCCCCCAATTTAATGCTTTTGAAAAAGAATTTCAACGTATAAATTATATGAATTTAGTAAGAGGACAAAGGCAACACCTTTTTAAAATTAAATATTTCACCAAATAAATAACTTATAAATAGACAAACATGTTTAATTAATTATTAACTTCTTTATAGGTTGAAAGAATCATAAATTGTGTGGATCAAAATTCACACAAGGGACGGATGTAAGGGGATTAGGTTGGGCTATGGTCCGGCTCAGTCCCCAACCCACTTTATTTTTTGGTTGTAATTATTTTTTTTTCTGTATTAGCTCGACTTGTAGTTCAATAATGAATCCGTTATTGCCTTGAAATCCACAATTTATAAGCATAAAGTTGCGAAACTATAGTTATGTGAATTTTGATCAACACAATTTATGAGTCCGCATACGTCAATATTTTTGCCAAACATACAAGTTCAAAAACGAAGTAAGTAGATCGAAATTCAAGCATATAATCCATTTACTCTACTAATTTCTACATTAAACTAATAGATTACCTTTATTTGTTTTTTTAATTCGCTATCATCATGTTAAGTTCACAATTGCCGTTATCCTTGGGAGGAGTGGAGATCGAAACTTAGGGTGCGTTTGATTGCAAGGGTGGAAAATGGGTGGAAAGAAAATGTTTTACAGGGAAAAGATTTGCCTAAAAAATATTTTGTAAGGAAAATGATTTCAAGTATGTTTGATTGGTATAATTTTCCATCCGAAAAATTTTTAAATTTTTTATTCGTTTGGCTTTATTTTACATGAAAATTGTCTATTAAAGTGATATTTTTTCCACAATTGGTTATAAAATTTGTTTCCATTGCCAAAAAGTTAAAAAAAGAGGGGAAAAAAATTGTTTCTTAAAAAATTATTTTATATATATATATATTTTCCAGTCAGTTTGGAAAATATTTTCCCACCAAAAATAAATATTTTCCGTAGAAAATTTCGCTTATCAAACAACCAAAAAAGTGGAAAGTGGAAAATATTTTCCTACTTCCCGAAAAACACGACCTATCAAACACGGCCTTAGCGTTGTATGCGATGTTGAACTAAAGAAATCCTCCTTAATCCTAACTGCTTCCTCAAATCTGCTACAGGAACAAGGTCGATAATAATGTTTTATACAGGTATATTGCCCTGTTTGGTCCACATTATTTTTTTCATTCTCATTCTTCTATTCATTTTTAACCACACATTCTTCAATAAAATAATATTTTTCATCACATCAATAGATTTTTCTTCTTTTTTCAACCACATATTCTCTATCGCATCAACAGTAAAAATATATTCTTACCTTTAAAATGTACACTAAACGGGGGCTATACTCGACATTTAAAAATATATATACACCTTTTTACGTACCGTTTTATGGTGGAAAGTTCTTGACTGAACTGAGGATTACTACTACCAGGGCTGGCAGGGCATTAGGTAGCTAATTTTTTTTTAGGATTTTTTTTTTCTTTTTTATTTTTCTCATGCTGTAGATTTTTTTCTTTTCTTTTGTCCCCCTATCTTGTCTACTGTTTTTTTGCTTCATCTGCGTTACTTTTCCCAGTGTCCAACAAACCAATTCTCTCTCTCGATTTCCAAAAATGGCCGATGAAACCCCACAACTAGCTCCACCACAGATCACCCATAAGCCGCCATTCACGGCGGAAGAGACTGAAATACCGCCGCAGCCGCAGCAAGAACTAGAATCAGCTTCCGTGACAGAAAATGATCAACCACTGGCGTCGGTGGAAATGCCACCTACTGAGCCACTACTTCCAGTTGAAGAACAGCTGAAAGAAGCCGTTACTGTAGAAAAAGAGACCCCACTAACACCTCCACTGCCTGAACAATCACTCACGGCGGAGCATGTCTCTGTCACCACCGCCGCCGCGCCCACTCCACCAATTTCACAGCCTCTAGATTCAGTACTAGCAGCTCCACAAAAAATTGAGTCACCCGAACCCCCAAAAGAAGAAGCCATAGAATCCGAAAAATCAAAGAAAAAAGCCCCAGAATCAATAGTTTCTTTTAAAGTAGAGAGTAACAAATTATCAGATCTGTCAGATTCAGAACGAAGAGCATTAGAAGAATTCAAAAACCTAGTCCAGGAAGCTCTCAATAACCGGCTTTTCTCATCTGCATCCCCCTCAGAAACCTCAAATTCACCCGAAGAAGTATCTATATGGGGCAAGCCATTGTTGAAAGACGATTGCAGCAATGTGATTTTACTGAAATTTCTACGAGCCCGCGATTTTAAGGTCAAGGAATCTTTGGCCATGTTAAAGGACACCATACAATGGCGAAGAATATTCAATGTAGATGAGTTGATTAAGGAGGACTTAGGGGATGATTTAGAGATGGTTGTGTTCATGCGCGGGCAAGATAAGGAGGGACATCCTGTTTGTTATAATGTCTATGGGGAATTTCAGAACAAGGAGTTGTATGCAAAGACATTTGCAGATGAGCAGAAGAGATCGGAATTTCTAAGGTGGAGGATACAATTTCTTGAAAGGAGTATAAGGAAACTGGATTTTAGTCCGGGCGGTATTAATACTATATTTCAAGTTAGTGATCTCAAGAATTCTCCCGGGCCTGGTAAAAGGGAGCTTCGGATTGCCACTAAACAGGCATTGCAAATCCTTCAGGATAATTATCCTGAATTCGTGGCAAAGCAGGTAAATGTGACTTGATTATTGCTTAAATTTCTACATATTTTGAAGAAGTGCTTGATTGGTGTTGATTTAAGAGCATGAGAATTGATTGAATACATTGTTGTCTTACATCTTAAGCAATAAAAGTAGGATCTTGGTACATAGTAGTTTGAAGAAGCTTCATTTTCGAGCATATTTTATTTTAGAGAAATTATTGAAGTACGTTTATATTTAGAGAGATTGTAGGTGTGTTGGGTCTGGTTAGGGATTTAGGTGATTAGATTTCCTCTAATGCATTTGTTAAGCCGTGTTAACATTTGGTTCATGTGCCTATATGATTCAGCTTGATCGCAGTATGAATACGGGGTGTGTAAACAAGAAACTATCCATAGTGCTTATCAAAAATGAGAAAAGAAGATTGTCAATATTCCTTTGAACCTAGTGCTTCTGTGGATCAAGCATGTTTTGGAAGAATTTATAAATAGTTTAAATTATAAATAGATAGAAACTAATGGTAGATAAGTATCTAGCACTTCTGAGTCCTCGAAATATTTGGATAAAAAGTGATATAAACATGAGCTACTTAGTATAGCTACTTGATGTTTGTTTACTCCAATTAGATGGATTGATTTTAATGTAAAAGAGTGTGTTGGTTTTTTTGAAGGTGTTCATCAATGTTCCTTGGTGGTATTTGGCTTTCTATAGAATGATCAGTCCTTTCTTGACGCAACGGACAAAAAGCAAGTTTGTTTTTGCTGGGCCGTCAAAGACTGCAGAAACTCTTTTGAAGTGCGCAGAAGTTACATTTTGTCTTCACAAATATATAGTTTTCTGATGGGACTTCTTTCAGAAGTTCTTTTTAACTAGATCTATTTTGCTGGTTGCATTAATTTGGGTTTTTGACTTTTCAAACAGGTATATATCTCCTGAGTTACTGCCAATTCAATATGGCGGCCTTTGTGTAGATTTCTGTGAATGCAATCCGATGTTCACCGTTGATGATCCAGTTACAGAGATTACTGTAAAACCTGCGACCAAGCAAACTGTGGAAATTATAGTGAACGAGGTTTTTGTATCTAAGTGTTTAGTTGTTTTTGTCGTCACGATATCTTTGGATTAAACCTTGTAGATGATGAAACATGGATTTTTTCAATTTGGGTTAAAAACATTGTTAGTCACCAAAATCGAATATTTTTATAGTCACTGAACTTTCATTTCAGCTTAGGCATGGCTGAATTAACATAAATGACAATGTGGCATGGGAAATCCTTTATTGCCCTTATTTTTATCATTCAGCTTGACCAAAATGCCTATTGTTGGACAAGTTGTGCTTTCGAAATGTGTTTTTATGTAGAAAACACAAAAAGATAGCACGTTTGTCGAAAAAGTCTCATTCTGACTTAGGTGGACAATAAAATAATGCACCAACAGATTTTTCACGTCACATGATCCTTTTTGCTCATTCTGCATAAGGAGGTAAACTGAGGCTTATTCTGAAATGAGGGTTGAAGTTCAGTGTTTTTAACACGGTTCAATTTTCGATGTTGTCATTGAATATTAATTGTAATTCATATAACTTATCTGAAATATCTGCAGAAATGTACTATTGTTTGGGAGCTTCGGGTAGTGAGCTGGGAAGTCAGCTACGGTGCTGAATTTGTCCCTAATGAACGTGGCTATGCAGTAATCATACAGAAGACAAAGAAGATGGCTCCGACTGATGAACCAGTGGTGTCTAACAGCTTCCAAATTAGCGAGCTTGGGAAGATATTACTCACCATTGACAACCCGACTGCCAAGAAGAAGAAGTTACTGTACCGATTCAAGGTTATGCCCTATGAAAATTGATGTGGCACATGGATTTTTAAATGATAGTTGCTTGCCATAGTCTCTTTGTGATGAGGATTCCAGCACCTTCTTTGTTGATAAAATGATGAATTGGGGACATCGTTGACTTTCCATTTGCGGGGTTTGTTCATTTCTACCTGTGGAATAGAAGGGGAAAAATTGGAATTGACGCTACATTGTTAGCCGGTACATAATACTGAGATAATGTATTGTACCATTTTAGAACTCTTTGCTTTGGGTTTGTTGTTTGCTGCTTGTATATTTCATGTTACCGTTATTTTGTTGGAGACATAGCACCATATATATACTGTGTGTTAGTATACATTTGTATTTCCTTTTGAAGTGTTTCTGCCAATATTCAAGTTTTACGTTTCACCATGTAAGAAATTACTCGATGTTCCAGTCGTATTTATGGTATTCCATGATTAACTTGCGGTTTTGCAACTTTCAAGGCTGGATTTATTGGATACGATAAGATGGCAGATTTGTGTGATATATCATCATACGTTAGCTCTCTCACTATAATGAGGCTTAAAACTCAAGTTCATGAGTAGTAAATAGGATGCCGGCGATGAAGGAGAATTGGTATTTGGTTAGTATATTGTCGGGCTGAAGCTCGAAAATTTTGAGTGTGATTTAGGCTTTTGGCTTTTAAGAGTAATGCTATCTAATACCATTGGATGCTACATTGTCCAATGAAGTTGCAATACATTTTCATTGATTGAATAATGTGGTATTGCGTCATTGTCATCAAAACTTGTGCTAATCACCAGTATGATAGATGTCATTACTCATTTTCTAGTGTCTATATGAAATTTGATACTTGCTTTGTTCATTATATCTTCTTTACATCGAGGAACAATGAACAAGGTGTTGATTGAACCATGACAAATAATATAAATTTATATGATTTCTTTGTATTTCGAAGAATATATAGACTCGCATGGGAAAGGGCTCGGTTGAGCCTAAAGCATGTGTTTCATCACATTTTGATATAGCCCATATTTTGATTCTTACGAAGTCATTTTATCTTGTACTTTACCATTGTAGAAGAACCTTTCTAAAGAAATTGTGCGGACAATACATGAAAGAAAAAAGAGTCTGACATCATGTCATGGTTTTGCTGTAGGGCTTGATCGAGCATAAAGCATGTGTTTCATAACATTTTGATGAGCCTATATTTTGATTCTTACGAATTCATTTTATCTTGTATTTTATCATTGTAAAACAACCTTTCTAAATAAATTGTATAGACAATACATGAAAGAAAAAAGAGTCATAGACATTATGTGAAAGAAACTTTACTACATATGCAGAAGAAATGTTCAGATAGAATGACACATATACAAGTGGCAAGCATTCATTGCGCTTTGGACAAAAAGATCGTTTTGCGATAGCCAATGCAATGTTGTCACTTGTGTATCTGTAATGCTTTTTGTACATTAATTCTATACAAAGAGCTTAATTGATGTGAAAGAAATATGTACAAGAGACAAGGCAGAAAAATAATCCTAACATGAGGTAGACGCATTTATAGCTGTTGCGGTCCTTGCGGATGCAAAGTGTTGTTCTATATGTTACACCCTACTCATTATATTCGAAGTTAAGAAATTAATTAGTCAACGTAAAAAAAAAAAAAAAAATGCAACTGGTCAAAGTCATATAAGGACTTAAGTTGAATAAATAGTTTTCATTGGACTTAAATTGTAATTACAAGTGCTAGGGGGCTAAAAATGATATAATAAAGGAATTTGGGGATTTAGTTTCTATTATTGGAAATTTAAGGACTAAATTTTATGTGATATGAATATTGGGGACTTGACTTACAAATCATACTATTTTTTTTCACTACTTTTTTGTTCTTTCGAATAGGGTTGGACAAAACTCTCGAACTGAACCAAATCGAACCCGAACCGAATAGTTCTTTTTAAGTAAAACACTCGAAAATGTATCTGAATCGAGAACTGGTTGTTAGGTTTTGTTCTCAATTTTGGACTAAGAATCGAAGAACCAAATAATCAAATAAGAATCGAATCTCCATATTTTTAAAATTTTTTTTAAATCTTAAATAAGTCAAATTATTTTATTTTTTCTAAATAAATTTGTTAATTAATTAATTTAGCCCAAATCCAAAATATAGTTTTCCCATTTCTAATTTCCAGCCAAAATCCAACTTAATCAAAATGATCTAAGTTTTACACAAATATGTTATTTTATCATAGTGTCGTTTCTATTGTTCTGGAGAAATCGAATTGGAAACTTGACTACGCCTCTCTTCATTATTGGGAGCTTATTATCTACTTTTTCACGTGATTTTAACAATTAAATCTATGAAAAACTTAATAAAGAGAGACGCGAAATATATAATGAGATTGGACTAAGTTATTTTGCAAGAGCTAAAATTGAATATATCATTAGCTGAATTAATGGAGCGTTATTGTAAATATTGAAAAAATTAATTGTTGTACGGAAACTTGAACGGTTTCATAATTTAGTTCGAATCCAGCGGTTCCACTTACTAAATATTCAAAAATTTGGGTTCGGTTCGGTTCGATTCTCTTTAGAATTGAATCGAATCGAATCGAATCGGATCATGTTTAGCCCTACTTCCTTACATAATTAATGACCCCATTGTACTTGGAATGCGTTTATTTCACTAATGATCATTGAAGTTGAAAGAAAATTATCAAATTGGTCATTATAGTATTTTTTTGAGACGTTTAGATACTAAATAATATTATAATGAAAGAATTATCAAACCAGATGCAATTCGTACATATTCTTGTTTTTCTTAAAAAACCAGTGTGATTCTCTTTGGTGTCAGTCTAATGTTTCCAAAAATCGAGGCATGCGCCGATATTTGCAAATCATAGCAAATATTAAAATTGTATCTAAAGGTGTTTTCTGATCTTCAATGGAGTGACGAAAAATGGTTCATATATGTGTACACAGTACTCGAACATGTATACATTCAAGAAGTTTTGTTGAAGAAAAGTAGCTAATTTTCGCCAATGTTTTGCCCGATTATCATCTTTGTCCACGTTGTTCTGGAGTCAATCCTACTTTGCCACGAGCAGGACAGCTCTCGACTCCAAATCCTTGGCACTCAAAGCACCTTCACAGTTTGCATTGAGATTAGATTAAAGAATCACAGTAATGGTATGTTGAGACTAAATTTAGAGTGTGTTTGATAGGGATTTTTGGGGGAAGAATTGATTTTTGAATAGTGATATAATGAGAAATGTGTGGTT